CAATCCTTAGCTATCCAAGCTTAGTAGCAGGTGCTTTCTCTCATGAATTACAGTGAATCTTGCAGAGAATCTTACAGGGAAAACCTGCTGTTTTACTCGCAGCCCTGACTGCAAAAGACAAGCAATCTCAGATTTGATATGCAGATATATAATACAGGAAAACTACTTGAAAGATCTGTCTCAGATGATCCCTAAAGTCTTAAAAGGAAAGTAAAAATAATGGCTTAGATCATGGTTATAAAGTAATTATGTAAGATATTGCAGCTTCTGGGGAAGAGTGTGTGTGTGTTTGGTTGTTTGGGTTGTTTTTTTTTTTTTAATTAACATTTTGAATTTGCAGTATTGAATGATGCATGATGTGAGAAAAGGATTGCTTATATTCCTAGTTCCTATAAAGACCTAAATGAAGTCCTGGCCTAGTGAAAGAGATTACAACCTTGCCGTTGATTTATACAAGAGCTAGTTTTCACTCTGGTATGTTCTACTGTGAGCAGTTAGTCTGAAGTATTATTACACCCGTAACCTCAATTTTTGCATTTTCTGAGGTTTGATGGATTTATTGCAGTATATTATACAACAGGAAAGTGAAATATTCAGCAAGATACGTAGAATGAGACAATAAAGGAAAAGCAGACTTTTGTTCCTCTGTACAAAGAACTCATTTCTTACTTACTTGTGCATTTCTTCTAAGTGACAAACAGGAAAGACTGTCGGATTCAAATTAGAGGTTAAGCAAAGGGTAGCCAAGAAGATCAAGAACCAACTATCTTTGTTTAAAAATAGAATTAGAATGAAGCTAGCAACCCGAGGGAATTGGCATGAAGCAGGTTATAAGGAAAGTGGGAAGGTTCACTTATTACAGTTAAAACACAGAATAAATGAAAAAAAAAAAAAAACTATCTGCTTTATAAGGTTCCAGTTCTGCCTTCAGCCAAGGACTAAAGCTAGTGGTATCAAACCAATTAATATTAAGATGAAACTTGAAGGCAGAGATCTTCCATTCCATGATATCCTTTTTGTGTGCATCTTATTGCAAATGTACAAAGCTTCATGGGATTTATTTCTTCCTTACAAGATGGCCAATTAAAAGGTTAATGTGCACTAAAATTTTAGAATTAAAGCAAAACTAAGTAGCCTTTCATTACAATTAAACTCAAGGGTTTGATTATTATTCAAATTAGACTTTCTGATTTTTTTTTTTCATTTGCAAACTACTTTTGATTGACTGGTGACATCAGAGGAGGAGAATGTATTTCAAGGGTAGATACTGCAGTAGGAGACAGGGAAATGTCACGGAGCACCGTATGCAGTTACAAGATGCTAAGGTCTGTTGGACTTGTTCACTTTACGGCTTGCATGTACTCATCAGTTCTGCTTTTAGTAAAGACTGCTCGCATTCCAGTGAGGACTACTGTTGATTGTAAATAATCATATTCGTTGTGATTCAGTTTAGCAAATTATCTTCTGAATTTGGTAATTCTATATACAGTCAAACAAAAGAATTCTTTCCTGTGGAAAATTGCTTTTTTGATTAAAATCCTGAAGCTTTTGTTATCTGAAAAAAAAAATAAAATGGAAAGTTTGAGGAGATCAGACACTGCAGGCATATGTTTAAAGAAAACACATTTTTCTGTCCAAAAAAGTTCACAGAAAATATTTGGCAGACCCTAATAATTTCTTTCTAGCTTTATACCTAGCTTTTCCTTCCTGTGACTCATTATTGAGAAAGTTGTAAACGGAATCTGGAGTATTCAGGTGCCCTTTGTCTGTCGTGATGCAGTTCAGGATGAGGTATAGAACACAGCTTTCGGTAGTTCACAGCTTCTGAAAATATATAACAGCCCCAAATAATTTATTTCTTCTCTTAAAGAAGTATGGGGCCTCCTTTAACACTGATGACTTTTGGGGACATGAGAGACATAATAGGTCTGAAATGGTTTCCCATGTTCTGAAATGTTAAATGATGACATGTGTTCCTCATGTGGTACATGTGGGTTTGGTAAAGATCTCCTGCAGCATTACTTGCTACGGATGGGCAGGTCAGCAGGTAAAGGGGTTTGAGCTGTCAGTCATCAGTGCACTAATGACACAAAGCAACTCATTTTCCCTGTGCGTGGCCGCAATTGATATATAAAAATCAGATGGTTGAAAATGTCATTAGAAAAAGCAGTCTGATCCGTGTGCTTGATTCCTACTATTAAAAGCTTTGTTACTCATCAGTTTGAAAGTATTTGTTCTTGATCTGCTCCAAGTCCAGAAACTGCTGTTTCTCACTTACCTATAACCATTTGTTCTTGAGCTGGACCTTGGAATTTTATTTATCATGACCTTTGGTATGGAAGACCTTCATGCATTAGGTCTTGAAAATCACTCAAAGATATCAGAGCTCTGTGCCCTGACTGAAACAATGATTTATTTCTTATCTGCTGACTTTTTGTTTTCCCCCTGTTTTCTTCTACATGTAGATCAGGGCACTATTATTGACCAATTAAAAAAAAAAAAAAAAAAATCACATTATGTTTAAGGGTACTGCCATTTTTCATATAAACCCTTAGTTACTTTAGCAGGTAGCAAGCATGATCTCAAAGCCAACCATACAAGCAATAGACAAGATGATCTGTTGACAGCATATCACGGGGACACATTAGCCACAGTTAGAAACAAGGTGGAAGCTTGGTTAATGGCTACATATGTTATTTACGTCAATCTGAATGAATTTAATTTTAAAAGAATCCAGTGCATTCCCCTCAATGGCCTTCTGCAGCAGTAGATCCCATAGTTTTCCTGGTGACTTCAGAAAAAACAACTCCTTGTACTCTAAATTTAAGCTAAATATAGAGGCAAAATACTTTTTTAGGAGCTGAGGTCAAGATGACCTTTACTGGAAGGACTCAGGATGCAGTTATATGCCTTATCTCTCTTCTCCTAATCTAAAAACAAAGTCAGAGATGTTATCCATCAAATGAACCAAAATCCACTCTTTCACGCTAGGACACTACTTGCAGTGATATCGATGTGAAGTATATGATCATACCTAACAAGAAGATAAGGAATGTTTTATCCTTGTACACAACGGGCCCATTCTGCCAGAGGAACCAAGATAGAACCTGAAGGCAAAGATGAACACACTAAAATATATGAAAACCCTTCATATCCACCTTCACTATATTAAAAGTCTATGAAAGTGGTTGAGGTTAGTTTCTGACAAGGGGTGCTGCATCAACATTTGGTTTTCTCTTAAGAAAGAGACTAACTTTTACTCAATAATGCTATTAATTTTAGGACGATCATCCAAACATTCCTTGTAGTTCTTTCTTTATATACCATTACTCAATGCAAGTAATTATATGGTACACTAAAAGTCAGAATGCCCTATGTATGGTAGTAGAGTCTAAGTGACAATAACTCTGTATGTAAAATAAGTGTAAATCTGATAATGTATGGAGTAGATAAAGTCCAGTATAAGTCTCCCAGCAGCCATTTCTTTCTTCTACAGTGGAATCTCAACACTAAATCAATTCCTAATGTATGAAATGCACCATAGTTTAGTTTCCCTGACTGCTGTTTTAATTGCTGACATTCTTGGGGGAAAGAAAGAACAAAACAAACAAACAAACAATCAAACAAATGACAAAACAACAAAAAACCAACAAACAAAACAAAACCTAAATAACCAACAAAAATCAGTATTAAAGAAAGAATAGACAGACAGAACTCACGTCTTAACTATAGATGCTGCTAAAGCCCAAAACCTGACTTGAATTGTACACCTAAAATCAAGGGCTAGCACTTTTCTACGCTCCTACTTCACATATAGAGAGGAATGAATACAGACTAATCTAAATTGTAATTTCATAGGTTGTTTATACTGCATAAATAAGGTACAGCAGCTGTTTGAAAGGCAATTTGAACTAAAAGGTCTCTGCATTGAATCCTAAAGTATTTATATTCGTTTTTTTTTACATTGTGTTCTGTTTTCAGAATCACTGGGAAATTTGTTAAATCACTGGTGTACTTGTTAAAGTTTAAAGAAAATGTAATATTGCATGAATACTGGCTACCCTTAGACTTCCTTGAGTCTAAACGTTTGTAGCTAAATACAAAACCTTTGACATATCTATCTTTACTGAACCAAAACAAACTGCAGCGAATTCTTGTTTAAACTCCATCAGCCATGATGATTATACCATATTTGTAATGAAGCAAGGCCACTTAATAACACTGCAAGGAGACATTTCATAGAGTGTAACAGTTTTTACTGTATATATGGTTTCACATGTCATTAGCCAGACTTTTCAAACATGTTCCAAGTAGCTTACAGAAAAAACACTAACATGCTGAAACAAGATTTTTAGCAGAATCAATATCACTGAATGGGTAATTATTTTTTTTTCCAACTTGCTATTGGTAGATACTCTAGCAAGATCAGAACAATATAATCTTAATATACTGCTCTGCATGTCTCTAGTGCTGAACCTAAAATCCCAGTCCTCCCCAGGAGTATTGCCTATAATATGTTGGGGTTTAATTGAAGTTTTATTTAAGTTTTTTCCTCTTTCAGGTAAGAAATTGAACATAAAAAAGGTTCTTGTTCTTATTCTTATCAACACCTGATCCCCTTTAAGCAAGGAAGCTAATTAGTTAAGCTTGTGCAAGGTTCTTCTTATCCTGGCTTTCTACCCCATGATATCCCTGGCTTCCTAGTGAATTCAAATAGACAAGATATATCTATAATATCTTGTGAGCAAATCAATTTTTTGACCTATCTTCTTCCCACACCCTAAATGTTACATTCCTTATTGCTCAACACCATTATTTGAACAAGATAGTGTCCAATTCTTCTGACTTTCCTGCTACTCTAGTTCACCAGTTAAGAACCTTGACTGGGAGTAGGCTGAATATCCAAAGTGTGAGGGTGACTTAACACTGCTCATACGGGCATGAGGGTTTTATCCATCAGAGTATGAGCTAATATGAGGATTGGGGTCCTTCAGAAAAAAGAGTGAGTGTGTTCTGGAATAAGATATTATGGTCTGGGGGTGGATGTGCAGCTTCTCATTCTCATGACAGAGGACATATAGGAAGGAAATAAAACCAGGTGGAATTCTGAGAAATTTTTTTGTAAGAATTGTCTGCCCTAAGGAAACACTTCTAGTTAGTATTTTCATCTGTCTGTCTTTGAGGAAAGCAGAACTGAATTCTGAGAGGTCAGCTGAGGAGGTGGGAACTGGTAGGGAGAATGTAGGTAGGTAAGTAACTCTTCTGATAGCTAGCAATCGGGTTAACATGATTTGGGAGATCTATGACAAAGAGGGAAAGCAAAGCTATGTTTATGCTTTTTAATAAATATTGTAATAACACAAAGATAAGTGATAAAAAGTAAGGAATTTGACTGCAAATTCTCATATCTATTTATCTGATTATATTACTTATTAGAAATGCTGACTTTAAATTCTTCTGATAATGTTCTTCGAGCAAGGATTCAATTTTGTGATTGTATATACAATACGATACAGTGCTAATATATTTTGCCCCTGGGTGACTGAAATACTATTATTTAACCATTGTTTATGATTATTCACTCCTTACAGGTTTAGATATGTTGTTAAGTCACTTAAATAATATAATTCTTTCTTTGATTTCAGGAGATTTGGAACCCAGGTGGTTTTCCTCCCCTCTCTGTTTAGATATTAGTAATTTACTTAAGCAGTACAGGAAGGGGGGGAAAAAAAAAAAAAAAAAGATAAAACCTTTGATTGAAAGGCACACTTGTGTGGTTATATCCTGTATTTGCAAACAGTTTTGTTCTTGCTTCATTCATCTGAACAATCTTTTATATTCACAGACAGGAAATAAGGTTAAGATAATGTGTTATTATTTGCAAATTAAGGACTTGAAGGTGTTGAAAAAAAGTTTTCTTTGTATGTGTGTGTGTATGAGTAGAAACTTATCTAGAAATATGAAAAAAGAAAAATGCAGGTGGGAGCTTTTCTACTTTTCATGCACTTCATCTGGATGATTTGATTCAAAAATTGAAAAGTTTAACAAAAAGCAAATAAATTGCTTTTGCAGTTTTCCACAAGAATAATGCCATGGACCTCACTTGAGATAAAAACACTATCTCACCAAGCAAAACTTGACCAGGTTTGCTCTGAGACATTTCCTATACTTTTCTCTTTATCAGAATGATGACAAAAAGCAGAAGACATACTGGTTTGAATTTGGATTTTTTTTTTTTTTTTTTTTTTTAAATAGAATAGTTACATAAGATAAATTTAATTGCAGACATGTATTACCCTTTTAGACTTTTGGGGGTCAATATGGAAACGTGCTGAAATATGGTTTCTTTAGGAGCGGTCCAGCTTGCTCAGGGTAGGCATCTGCTCTGCTCTAATCGCTCTGTCCTTTTTTAATATGGAGAGAAATAAACCTTGCTAACATCTAATTTTATCTATTCTGAAAAATCTAGACTAGCTGTGGTGAATTGCTCCCTGAGCTTTTGTATTTCTTTCTGATGATCACAGAGAAAGTCCAGAAAGGGACTGTGAATGGCCATGCTGTACTTGTCCTGATTTACTCTTTGGATCTTGAAGGGTCAGATAATGTAGCTCATGTTTCTATAACCGGAAAGACAGAGATCTTTTACTGGGCTTGTCTGTGAGCTCGACACTTATAACACCAGAGATTTTGACTTGACACACCTAAAATGTTCCATTTCTCTTGTTAGTACTAGAAATATGATGAACTGTGTGATGTTTGTTAAGTGTTTCACTTTGCTTTTTTAACAGTGGTATTAATAGCAGACATTTTTCACACATTCTATCCTGTACGCTACTTGCATCTCTTTGACATGATTAAAAGAATAAATGGAGTCTCTCTGGTCTGTAGCTGCCCACACAAAGGTCCACTTCTTGACTCCATTTCCAAATCGGTTATGACATTTGAAATGTCCTAGGATATTCTGCTTTTCCTCCAGGTGTTACTGCAGAAGACCAACATTTCTTGCATAACCTGTTTTATTTGTCATCTCTATGTCAATATCTCAGGTACCCCAAGGTGCCTCAAATAGTTCTCGTTATAGTTTTCAGTTTTATACACTGCATCAAGCCAGGCTGAGAGTTATATTTATAAGTGTCTAGATGTAGGCTCCTCACTCTTTTGATTAGATCTTCATTACATAGCTTGAATCTTCATTATGAACATGAACACATGGTAGCTGATATATCCCTGCAGAACCGCAGGTTGCTTTTGGGACTGGCAAACATGAAACAAGACCGACAGGAAAACTGCATCACTCCATCTTGGAAAATATTGTTTTCTTAAACTGCATAAGAAACCTTTGTATAGGCAGCTGAATTAAACCTCTATCTGACAGGCAAATCCCTAAATTCCAGCCCAATTTTTTTTTTTTTTTTTTTTTTTTTTTCGGTTTGCTGTATTTCAAGAAGACTCCATAAGAAGAAACTTTAGGGGGGAAAGGCAACTTATTGGGTTTTATGGAGCCTGCTATAGTCCTGTCCAGTATGATCCAAGAAGCTGTATCTTGCCATTACTAGGAAGTTTAACATTAAGGAAATCTTCAGTCATCTTGTTGACAGGAATCAAGGATCTTTTGAAAAATAAATGGTCAGCCTTTGGTGTAATTCAGTCACCTAGACATAGGTGTGTAGATGCACCTAAGGGATCCACATGTTCCCAAATATATACCCTTTTACTGTGGCAGCTGGGTACCAGGTGGGTACCCCTAGGGCATCTCAAGTGTGCCTACACTCAGGAAAATGCATCGCCTCCTCGTAAGTTTTCAGGTAAATAAAATTAACATTAAAAGCACTTAGAGACAGAAGGATTTTTAATTCATTCTGTTTATCACTTATTATTTAAATATAGCTTAACAAGGCAAACAAAGCCGAGTGCCTGTATCCCATTATCTTTTTATATTCTGGAAAAAAAAGAGACAATGCACAAAAGTGTCTAAAATTGAGCAGCTTGTGGTTATGTTGCTATAGTTACAGGATGATCAGAGGCTTTGCTAAGCCAGAAAAAGAAATGAGCAGTTTCAGATAGTTTTGCACCTAGTCACTGCAGATAGTGCTATGTTTCCAAGTATGTGGATTTGGTCTGCTTTGCATTGGTGAAATGCAAAGAAGCCATTTGTCTCCCGAAATTTCTTATGAATAAAAACAACCTTTGCACTTTACATCTGAGAATTTCCATGTAGATTTCAAAGAAGAAAAACAGCTGCTTTAAATAGACGTGGTCAGAAAATGGTGGTGGGTTTTTTTTGTTTGTTTGTTTTTGTTTTTGTTTTTGTTTTCTCAAAATAAGTCTCTTTTTTTGATTTTTCATTACAAAATGCAACACATAACATTTTTCTGGCCACAGATCAAAAACTTCTGCTTTTCGGCTAAAACCTGTTACTTATAATTATATATATATATAAAAATCTATAATATGTTTCAATTATTGTTTCATAACAATATTATTGTTTCATAACAACAAATAGAGTCATGTGAAGTGGTCAGTTTGAAAAAAAAACATAAAACAAACAAAAACTCAACACATTCGTCACTAGAAAAAAAATCTCTTTAAAAATACCAATAAACATTCTACCTTTTGAAAATTAATTTCAGTATAGATTATGCTCACTCGGAGATGTCAGTGCTGGGGACTACGACTGAACTTGGAAAGTCCTGATGGGAATTGGTATGGAGAAACTGAGACAAGGAGTTGCATTTGCCCCAGCTGACAGTCTGTGACTGAACTTTTATCCCTTTGTATATAAAAAGTCTTTAGCTTACTTTTGCATTATGTTTTGCTGAATAAATGGAAAGCTTTTGTACCTAAATGTGAAGATTACAGAAGACTAAATAGTAACAAACGATATTCCTAATTCTTTCTGCTCCTCTAGTGAATTCTCATGCAGGGAATGAAGAACCTGCTGCTTCTAAACATGTCCGTCTAAAAAGACTTCACTGTCAATCAAAATATGTACTCTTATATAAAAAAGTCTTTATAGAGAATGGTTACCACCTATTGATAGCAGTAAGATAGCAAAGGGAGTTCATTCAGGCTTGGAAGAGCTTCATTTTACAGTGAAGAAAGAAAATAATTGAGATGAAATAAGACAATGAGATTAACTACAGTTTATCTATCAGGATCTGTCCATTTAAAGCACCCCAGAAAGGTGTGAAAATAATTAAACTTCAGTCCACTAGCCCTTTCCACCTATCTCTTGTCCATGTAGGCTTCTGCAGGCTGATGGGCTGCTTTGAGCAGGAAGTTGGACCCAATGGCCTCCAGTGAATTATTTTATGACATATGCTGTCTTTTGAGATCCTAATTCTAGAAAACTCTTTTCTATGTCCTTTGATACTTTAAGTTTTGCTGACCTTTGCTGTGGAAAAGGAAGAGCAATTGAAATCCCTAGATGCTAAATCAGGTGTAGCCTCCCAATGTCTCAGACCACATCCAACAAGTCCAAATTGCCTTCTATCAGACCTAGGCCTGTCAAGATCTTTGGGGGGAAACCAGGCTTCTGCTGACACTTAAAGCAGATACAGTGGTGCATCTGTTTGTCTCTTTATAATTTCTGCTATTATGGAAACATGAGAGAAACATATTTCTTCTACAGTCCCCCAAAATCTACAGCAAGGGCAAATGGCCCCTGATCTCAAGCTGCTGTCAGTTATGGTAATCAGGATTCTTGGTTTTGGTTCAGTAGAGCATCCTTGAATGTCTAATACCATGTGAGATACAACAGTACTTGTAAGATGTACATAAAATGTAGCAGTTATAACACAGAACAAATAGCAAACCCGCACCCTTCTGCACAGATACAGGGAGCTTAAAGTAGTCTCTGGATACCTATGCTTGAGTAGCTGAATTGAGCCAGGTGGCAGAAGACAGAATTCAGTTGTCTGTATATAGGTGTCCAGTGTCATATTAGGTACTCTGTAATCTCCTATCTGGCCTCCATCTGCTGGTTCAGAAACTGCAGATTATTTTTGGGTCCCATGTCCTACCCGCCAATCATGTATGGACTTGTGGGAAATCTTTGATGGTCTGGAACAGAACTAGATACTTCTGAGGGAACTGAATTTGGCCTC